AATGGAGTTATCTGAAAGGCAAGTACAAACTCGGCGGCAAGCAAGGTGCAGTGCGCGGCCACGCGCATTTCTCTAGTCATAAACAACAAGGCGATTCGGGGTCCAGATGAGCGCCGAGCGACCGAAATGATTATGAGCGGGTGGGGTGGTGCCACAGTGTGATAGGGGTCATACCACCCTGTCCGCGAACCTGTAACCTATCATAAGCCATGCAGCCCGGAGGTACGATGGGTCAGAAGGACTTGCATGAATAAGTATGACTCATAACATACAACCAAATATATTATTCACCCTCATTTTACTCTTCTTGGCAACGAAATCAAGGCGAGGTAGCCAAGCGGTCTAAGGCGCTAGACTAAGGTGCTTACGTAAGCAAAAAAATCTAGTTCTTCGGAGCGTGGGTTCGAATCCCACCCTCGTCATATTTTCCTTTTTGTGATTCAGTTGCTGAGTTCGGAGCAATCAACTACAGGGGTGGGCAAAACTGTCTCATATAATGGCAATCTGGAATTCAAACACATATATCTCCGTCAGTAAGACTTGTATGCATACACCAATAATACCATTTGAAAGCCAAGTAAAGGGGCTATGTATTGAATATAAGATCTCAGAAATTGATTGAGAACTCATGGATAAATCCAGGGAACAAACATGGGGCCAAATGAGACAGTTTTGTCCCCAGGAATCATTTTCCATAGTTCAACTCAGTACTCATCATCCAGATTAAGTGGGGGCAAACCAACTATACACAGATCATGGTATATATGAGTACTCTAGCTACACAGAGAATTAGCAAAGGAGACAGTTGTTTTTAGCTAGAAGAGTGCAAGCCAGATAGGGGTATGGTTAAAATGGGTTTCCCCCACACCACACTCTGGCAAGTGTTAATTGAGCTTTCTAATGCTATTGGCAATGTCTAATGGTCACTATAATTACTATATGTACAGTCAGTTTGACCTAGAAGACTGAGTCTGATCAAGTAGGTGAGCTGAATAGGCGCATATAGGGTAGAATCAGTGCATACATCTGGATATTACAAGACATGGAGAAACCAGAGCATTTTGTCTATAGCCTAGATGGATAGCCTGAACTCCATTGGAGCTAAACCAGTTATAAGAAAAAGTTTAAACAGTCTAGAGCTGGTAGAAAATTTAGATAAAGGTCAGAATGCATAATTTCATATAGAAATTGGCCTCTGTTGCAACCCTATGAGCCATACTCTGGTTATAGACTGTTTAAGCTTTTGCTTATAACTGGTTTAGCTCCAATGGTGCCTTCTCCCCTTCCAACAGACTTTTGAATGTGTTAAGGGCTAGTGAATATCCTGGAATGGGTTGAATTGAAATGAGTGGGGCCCAAACTACCCATTAAAGCTATTTTCAGATAGCTGGCACTTCCCTCTGGCCAGGAAACCTGGATATATGCACTTGATTCCCCCTATATGCGTCTATGTAGCTATCTGAAAATATTCTAGCAAGCTTCCTTTGTTATATTAGCCATGATATCATCAGAATATATCCTATGTTTTATGATTTATGAGCATTTGAGAGCCCATTAGGACCATACCACCTTCTGATGTGTGAAACACTCAATACCCCTGACCCCTGATTCATACCTCACTTTTCTACCCAATGCAAGATACCTGTAAACTAAGATCCTCCCTGTGTATAATCACTAGGTAGCTTAACCCTCTAACCTAAATCACAGATACCTAGCTTACT